TCTATGGCGGGGACAACTGACCGGAGCGTCTGGTCACCTTGGCCGGAGCGTCCGGTCACCCCGCAGAACGCTGACGCAACCACCTAACAGTTCGTTTTGAATGAGGGGGTATAAATACTTCCTCTATTCATCCAAGGGAGGTCTCTTTCCCATTTGATCAGCTAAGAAACACCCTTGAGAGTGCTTTGGAGAGCAAGAGCCTAGTGAGGTGATTGAGATATGAGAATCCAAGATTAAAGCCTCATTAGTGCAAGGAGAGTAGCAAGTGTGCATCCACCTTTCTCATTAGGCTTGTTGTGATCAAGTGAGAGTTCGTGCTTGTTACTCTTGGTGATAGCCATCACCTAGATGGCTTGGTGGTGATTGGGAGTTTAGTGATCATCCGGTGGAGCTTGTGGATGACCCAACTCAAGTTGTGAGCTGTTGTGGGTGATTCACCGCGATGGAGTGTCCAAGAATCAACCCGTAGAGAGCACTTGATCCTTGCGCGGATTAAGGGGGAGCTACACCTTTGTGCGGGTGCTCCAACAAGGACTAGTGGAGAGTGGCAACTCTTCGATACCTCGGCAAAACATCGTCGTGTTCATTCTCCTCTCTTTACTTTCAGCATTTACTTTTGAGTAATTCAATTCTTGTCTTTATATTCTTAGAATTGCCATGCTAGAGTAGGATTGGAACTTAGGGTGCTAAACTTTTATGCGGTAGATCATTAGAATCATATTCTAGGCACAAGGGGTGAAGTGGGCTAAGTGTAGGGTTTAATTATTGCAAAGAATTTTAGAATTAGTCCAATTCACCCCCCTCTTGGGCATCTTGATCCTTTCAGTGACCTTCGATGAGCATACCTTTCCATACCGATCTCCTCCCTGTGCTGGTAATTCCTCTTCTGCTGGTATTGTTCATCATCCGACAACAGACACCGTTGTCATTCAGGAACTCCCTCAGCCATGCGTCCCTTTTTTCCGCCGCGTGTTCCAGCTCCTACAGCTACACCATCCCCAATCTCTACTACTGGGGCTATGCCTTCTGCGCCGCACTCATTCGCCATTGTGGCGTCACCTGTAGCGCCATCCCGACCGTAGCGCCCTCCCAGTCGCCCGTTGCTGTCGCCGCCACTGCACCGTAGCCTGCGCGTGGCCACCCAATGCTCACCCATGCCTAGGCTGGCATAGTCAAACCCAACCCCCGCTATGCACTAGCCACTGCTGCATCTCCTCCTCCCAACGATAGCGTCGGCATCTCCATTACCATCCTCGGCGCGCGCCGCACTCCGGGACCCTAACTGGCACGGCGCCATAGAGCAGGAGTTTCGCGCTCTTCGGGCTAACCGCACATGGCGCTTGGTCGATCGCCCGCCCGGTGCCCATGTCATCTCCGACAAATGGGTTTTCTGCCATAAACTCAATCCGGATGGCACCCTCGAGCGCTATAAAGCACGATGGGTTGTCCGTGGCTTCACATAGCGTGCTGGCATTGACTTCGGCAAAACCTTCACGCCAGTGGTTAAACCAGCTAGAATACACACAGTGCTCACCATTGCTGCTTCTCGCCGCTGGTCTACGCGTCAACTCGATGTCTCCAACACGTTCCTCCATGGGAATCTTTAGGAACACGTCCTTTGCCAGCAGCCCACGGGTTTTGTTGATGCTGCGCGCCCAAACGCAGTGTGTCTTCTTGACAAATCCTTATACGGTCTTCGTCAAGCACCACGAGCGTGGTTCAACCGGTTCGCCGCCTTCGTCATCCGGCTCGGTTTCACCCCGACACGCTCTGATTCATCGCTCTTCGTCCTGCTCTGTGGCTCCGACACCATCTATCTTCTTCTCTATGTCGATAACATTGTCATCACGGGGTCCAGTCCGGCGCTGCTTCAAGAGATCATGAGGCGTCTGCAAACCGAGTTTGCCGTCAAGGACCTTGGCGATCTGCGCTTCTTCCTCGGCATCGACGTCAAGCGCACCGCCGACGGCTTCTATTTGTCCTAACAGTGCTACACTGAGGATACCCTCGAGCGCATTGGCATGACAAATTGCAAGCCGGCGGCAACTCCGATCGACGCCAAAGGCAAGCTCTCCGCCGACGGACCGGCAATCGACGACGCCAAGACATACCGGAGTTTGGCCGGGGCGTTGCAGTACCAGACTGTCACGTGGCCCGACCTCGCCTTTGCTGTGCAGCAAGTTTGTCTACACATGCATGATCCCCGGGCGCCACATCTTGCTCTGTTGGAACGCATACTGCGCTACGTTCGCGACACGTCGACACTGGGCCTCTCCTTGCGCGGCTCACCGGACCTCACTATCACGGCATACTCGGACGCCGACTGGGCGGGCAGCCCAGACACTAGGCGCTCTACGTCGGGCTTCTGTGTGTTCCTTGGCGACGCCTAGTGTCCTGGTCGTCGAAACGGCAGCCCACGGTCTCCCGCTCGAGCACTGAGGCTGAGTAACGTGTTGTCGCGAACGCCGCGGCTGAATGTATATGGCTCCAACAACTTCTCGGCGAGCTCCATTGTGGCGTGACCAAGGCGACCGTCACCTACTGCGACAACGTCTCTGCCGTGTACATGTCGGCGAACCCCATTCATCACAAGAGGACCAAGCACATCGAATTGGACATCCATGTCGTTCGCGAGCGTGTTCAATTGGGAGACCTCCACGTTCTACATGTTCCAACTGGTGAGCAATATGCCGATGGGATGACAAAGGGCTTGCCTACATCGACCTTCGAAGCCTTCTGCTCCAGTCTGTGCGTCGTCCCGATGAACGTGTGAAGAACGCACCGACTCGCGGGGCGGGGGGGGGGGGTTGAGAGACACTCAGTTTTGTACTAGCAGTTAGCTTCTCGGCGTGGTGACCACGGTCACCCACGAGTCTTAGACGTGCGCACCGCGCACACCGGCACACTCACGGCTGTAACTTGTATATATACTCAATGAGATGCAATGGAACAGTTGTTGGCCACATTCCTTCTCTCTACAGAGTCGTCTGGATTCTGGAAGCAGGCGGACAGGCACACCTCCACCTCCACTCCCTCCTTCGATCCCCTACAGCAGCCTAGGACTCTCCACGCTGTTACCTGTTAGCCGTGTCCACCTCCTCCATGGTGCAGGGGCCGTCCTAGGCACACTTCCAACACAGGCAGCAGTCGGCAGGAGTCCATCACGAAGAGGCGTTGACCTCCTCATGCCAAATGGAGGAATGGCTCCGCCGGAACTCGTCTCCAGGAATCCAAATTCCAAATCCGCCGCCCTAGGCCTCCACACGGGATAGGAGGAGGGAGATGGAGGTGCTACTTTCCAGTGCTCGCCCGCGAGGGAAATGGCGACGTGATCTTCGTCGATCACCGATCAAGGGACTCGGGACCTCAGACCTGCCTGCACACGTGACTTTCCCTCTCGATCAGGGCTGGAAACGGGCTTAGCTTGGACGGGCCAGGCCCATGCGGGATCTAGGTGCAAGATAATAATAAAATTAATTCATTGAATGGGCTGCATCGAGATGTGTGCAGTTTTTAAAAAGATGAGTAAACAGACGAAACAGATGTTCACTTGGATATATAGTTCACCATATGCTGTAAAAAACTAATTTTCTACATACTACTTCTCATGACAAGCCAGAGAAAGTTGCTTAAGAAACTAAAGTTGATCAAACTATGACATGTTTCTAATGTAGGCATGGTTTTTGAGGCGTTGAGGTGAGGCATGACACCCTACCCCCTCACAACGCCGAGGTGTTTATGGCAGACGCCTAAGGCGATGCCACACACATATTCTGGGCGGGCATGAGGGCGGGTAAGAATCAAATTGCCACTGACAAATTGAGCACAAAGATTATATTAACCAGAAGTTCACAACAATAGCGAACCAAGACCATATACATTTAATACGTATCAGTCATCACCTTGTGTATTGTGTTATGTGAAAGTGTAAACAAAGAGCGAAGCAGACATTAGTCCATATGACAGGCCAAGCAGAGAGCACTGCACATCGTCAGACTCTCAGAACATATAGCAGTAGAGTAAGCAGTAGCAGAGGCAAAATCAGGAGGCAGGGCACAGGCATAATCAACAGTCATCAAGCCTAATGGTGTCATCTGTCAAGCAATGTGTGGAAATGAACAAGAAACACATAGTACCATATTTTCGCAAAGGAGATTGCAAGCCAACCAATGACGTTCGGAAATCATCAACGACTGCAGAACAGTTTTAGCAAGCTAGCTAGTGAAAGAGTACAACTTCGGCGCAAAACATGTCTTCAGTTGATCAAAACAGCTTCAGTGAAATTAACTGTAAATATAGGACTTGGGTACAATATATATCAGACATGCCTTCTCTGCCCAACTGTATGATTGATGATGACGATATCATGACAAAGATATCTAACGAATTTATGAGCACAAAAACTAAAGTCGTCATAATTCGATTTAGTGTGAAGCGGTAAAACAAATTCGGCATAGGCATCAGCCGGGAGAAAATTACTGTGCTTTAAATTTCAATCAATCAGCAAAAAGCGCGTACTACTCTGAAATCTCCGCACAGGATGCAAACAAAAAAGAAAAGGAATATAGCGTCGTCCTAAAATCGGTAAATGCTAGCTTAACTACACTGGTCTTCCTTCACCGATCGACCTGACGACAATGTATATATATGGTAAGCAACACAATCCCGACCTCATGCACGGCAGCAACTGGCCGAAACGAGGCGTCCGTTAGGGTTCGGCCGTTGTCTGGCACAACGGTTTCGGCACAGTTTCTTGTTGCCGTGGCCAAGCGACGTGGGCGTCGCCACGCCCGCGAGCGAGTGACCCAGAATATATTTTTCAGGTACGCCTGCCTGCCTGCGTCACCCTCGTGCAGCTCCCCGCAACCATTTCTTGTTGCCTTGCATGCTGAATCTCATCGAGAGGCATAAAAGCCCGAGACTACCAAAGCCAGGAGCAGGCAGCCTCCACAGATATCGGCCATCATCAGCTATATATAGCTCGCTGATCGATCGATGCCATGGATCCCAACGCTGTGCACATCCAGATGCCTACAGCAGCAAGCCAAGAAGAAGAACCCTCCTCTATTCAGGATGCTACGAAGAAGCCGCCACAACAGACAGACGCCGCCGCCACGCGTGAAACGCCTGTGCGGCGGCCGGCCCTGTCATGCGCTTCTTCGGACCTCCTGAAGCTCCTGCCGACGGGCACCGTGCTGGCATTCCAGGCGCTGGCGCCATCCTTCAGCAACCACGGCGTGTGCCACGAGGCGAACCGGTACCTGGTGCTGTCGCTCCTCGGCGCCTGCACCGCCTCGTGCGTGCTCCTCTCCTTCACCGACAGCCTCGTCGGCCGCGACGGCAAGCTCTACCACGGCGCCGCCACCTTCTGGGGCTTCTACCCGTTCAACTACACGGGGACCCGCGAGGAGCGGGAGGCGACGTTCAAGGACCTCTCCCGGTTCCGGATCACGGCGCTGGACTTCGTGCACGCCTTCTTCTCGGCTCTCGTGTTCCTCGCCGTGGCGCTCGCCGACGCCAGCATCCAGGGGTGCCTGTTCCCGGACGCCGGCCCGGATGTGAGGGAGCTGCTGGTGAACCTGCCACTGGGGGCAGGCTTCCTGTCCAGCATGGTGTTCATGATCTTCCCCACCACCAGGAAGAGCATCGGGTACACGGACATGACGCCCCACGAGCAGTGAAACGTCGTCGTCTCTCCACGCTAGCTTAATTAATTCGGAAGCATTATTTGTTGTATATGTGAAATATGATCAACTTAATTATTATCTGTGCGGCCCTTCAATATGTAGCAAAGATATTTTTTTCTTTTGCAATTATATGAGCAAAAGATTTTTTGATAGATAGAAAGATACAAGTGAAGTGTATAGACGTATCGACTGACAATGAAGCTTCAATTGTATCTAGGTGACTTAGGCAACTGAACTTATCTATGTTTTTTTTTCTGAAATGATTTATTAATCTTCTTGCGTAAAAGGGTGGTTGCATTGGTCTTACCTGATGTCCTGATTGTCTGATCCTAATCTTGATCGAAGTCTCGGAAAGGGGCACTAGAACTTCCATTTAGGGAGGCGCTGCTGAGGGACGGCTGAGGAGGACCACAGATTCACATGATCGCAGTCTCATCCACTCGATGACGATGCCAGGACTCACGGTGGCCGGGTAGGGGATAACCGAGCAATGGCACTACCGCAGTGCTGCACTACCATTGCAGGATGGGAGCGGGAAACATGGTGACTCGCGAGCAGCCACCTAGCTCTCCTAAGTCCTAAACTTTTCTGCGCTCGGTGTGGACGTCGGTTACCGCTGTAGCCCAAGGCTCTGAACCTGAAGACCACTTGACTGAAGAAACGGCGCCTGAAGGAGTTGGGCCGGCCATTGTAGCCCATCCGGCAACAGCCCGAAGACGGAGTTCACGCGAAAGTACTCCTGCCTACGGGGCTCTGCCGATGTATAAAGAGAAGAGAGAGCATCTTGACTCTAGAGAGAGGAGACAAGTTATTTCCCGTTAATCCTGCCATCCGAACTACTCCGTGCTTCCCCCTTGGGTGTTCTACTTCTCCTTCTATCGCCAATCTCCAATCCTAACACGTTATGTCCTGTGTGTGGCGTGGATGGGCAGGTCACAGGGCATTCGCCTTCCTGGTGAGTAGTGGGCCGGCCTGGCAACCTACTGGGCTGATATTGAGATAGGCCATCACTCCAGCAGAGGGACCTTTTCCTTCTTTTTTTTTTGCCCTTTTCTGTATTGGAATTATATTGCTGGTTCTCGTGAAGCACATTGCCTGCTAGAACTAGAACCGTCAGAAATTCAGAACCCCTGAGCTTGGAGTGAACATGAGTAGTTTAGCGGTCTGAATTCGTCCCTACGGACACGGTGTAAAACTTGGCAGTGTTCACTGGGGATGTCTGCTCCTCGTCGCCATGAACTTTTCTCAGTTTTTATTTGCGCATCTCTTCCGCCGGCGAACGGTGATTTTTCCATTTTCCGACCATGCTGTGTGGTCAGTGTCTCAGTGATCGGTGCCTGATGCTTTGGTGGTGAGCTTATGAGGTTTATGCAGCGTTAATCATGTGTTTTTTTTTCTATTCCTAAATTTTAGATCCTGCATTCCAAAGAGAATAAAGGCCCCATTTGGCACAGTTTAGCTTCACTAATGAAGCTGTTTTTTCATTTTAGCTTCATGAATAACTTTCTCGGTGAAGCTGAGCTGTGTTTTTAATCTGTTTGACAAAGCAGCTCACATAATTGGAAAAAGAATAAATTACCAAAATGCCCTTATCCTTCTCTTTCCATCTCTGTTTTCTCCTACATCTTCCACGCCAACGAGCCCCATGCAACTTCCCCAGGCGGCCGCGTCCCTGGCGCTCCGTGGCCACGCCACCCAAGCAGGCCGTGCCATCGGCGGCTGCACCCCTGCGAGCCACGGCAGGCCGGCGCACGCACCCTCCCTCCGCCGAGCCCGAGCGTGTGCGCTCTCTTCCCCATCAGGGCAAAACCTGTCATTTCTGCATGCTGGGACCCATAAGGATGAGATTAAGCTGTTATTTTGAGTTTCATTCTACTTCATCCCTCCAAGAGAGGAGAGAAAAAAAAAGAACTTCATCTATGAAGGTGTTTTGAAAGAAAAAAAAAACAGTTCACAACCGCTTATAAAGTTGTCGGTGACCGTGCCAAACATAGCATGGGTTTGTGCTCTAGCCCTGCTAATACGGCCGGACTGCCGCTATATTCGTCCGAGGACGGACGCCTTGATCCGACCCGAAGACGGAAATCAATGATAATAACACTCGCAAGTCGCTAGTTGTGTACTCTACGTTGCAGATTGGCGTGCACCCAACAGAAGCAACGACGTGGCAGGGTGCAGGGACTCTGCTGCCGTGCTGCGTGAGCGGCAAACAGGGGGTAGCTTGCGCGCCACTCCACCCATCCCGGACGCTAGGCAGAGAGAGACATGACGGTCTGGGTTCGTTCAAGTCTTGCACACCCACCGGCGCGGAGTCTCATCGGTCGGCTACTAGACGCCTTTCATGTGGTGTGGGGACCCTGCCTCCGATCACGCGGCTTGCATGGACCTCCCGACGACCATTTCAAAAGGGTTCCGATAGGAGAGGATAGTAGGGTAGCAAAAGGACGGGCACGGGCCTTCGTGGCTCATTCATTTCTCTAAAACTGCGTTCACACCTCGCTTTTGCTAATTTGCTCGATCGCCACAAAATTAAAGCGCCTTTCTCTATTTTGCAGTTTAGAGAGTAGTACTCCTAGATAAATAGTACTCCTATTATGTATATACAAATATGGAAAAAGTACTCAAATTCCATTGCTGTTCTTTTTTTTCGAAAATTACGACCCTAGATAACTAATGCGGTGTTCACACCTTGCTCCTTTATTTTCCCCTCATCAAAGCATCTTTCATTTCTTCAATTCAGCAGTCTACTGCACCCTGACACGGAGTACTAATACATTTCTGCTGCCGATTTTAGCGATACACATGTTGGGTTAGCAATTGACTGACTAGCGACTATGGTCTATATATCCGTATAAGGAGACTCATGGCCTGTCTGGATCCACCGCTCTAGAGTTTAGAGTTCTAAAGAAACTTTAGAGTACTTTAGCTCATTTTTAAGGTCTAAAGCCAATCTCAGTGGTGAGTTTCATGGCGTTGTTTTCAAAGCCGCCATGTCAAATACAATGAAATGAAACTTTGATGAAACACCCTCTCTCAATGTAAAGTTTCATTCTAGTGTTTCATAGTCATTTAATTCTATGACTCGTATAGAGTGGTAATCTTACTGAGAGAGTTTCATCCTTATTTCTTCTCTCTCTTCTTAAATACACTGTCATGTCATAAAAAATACTTATACGACAACCTATTTAATGCAAATGAAACTTACATAAAACTCGCACTGAGACTGACCTAAAGTTCTAATGTAATGTGGACTAAAGTTTAGAGCTAATTTTAGACCAGCTATTTAGAGCTCTAACTCTAGGGTTTAGAACTAAAATTTAGAGAAGATGACCAAACAAACCTCACGGAGACCCGTGCTTAGCTTGGGCAACAAAGACCAGGAGTCTGCCCCAAGTGTGCTCGCCGATTGAAGCAGCGGTGTGGACCGTGGACCGTGGTCGACGACGACGAGGCTGGCTTTCTTCGCAAGCGGCCGGCTGCAGTGACGCACGGGAAAAGGCGCATGCGGCGGGGAGCCTTTCCGGACAGGGGATGACGATGAGCGTGGACCCAGCCAGACCCCAGAGGGGTACATTCCCTGGGCCCCGCACCGCTACGGCCGCAGCCCACCGGGCATGGCCGCATGGGATTGGGGTGGCCAGCCGGCAGCCACCGCAGGCGCGCCTCCGCGGGCCTCCACTGCAGCGACGCGGTTTCCGTGAGCCCCACTCCACCGGCCCTCTCCTTCGCTTTCCTCTTCCGCACCAATCGCTACGCGCACCCTGCCCGCTGCTTCTATTTATATGAACTACTACTAATAGTAATATAATAGAGGTCTCAGTTGCTTCTGTTTTTTTGGCCGTATTCTTTTGGCAAATCGTTAGTCCACTCATAGTACAGCATGTCAACATACTCCGTATTTGGTAGTACTTTTATGGATTATTAATATACAGCTATCTTTTTTCTCCGAAATATAAATCTTATGGACACTCCTGCCATGTTCAAAGATCATGTGCACCTACTCCTATATTCTACTCTACTCGTCATCATAATATAATACGAATTTTTGTCTGAAGTTATAAGAGATGGAGTAACCGTTAAACTCAAATAAAAAAAGATTAAATTCACATGTATAACCAAAGTATCAAGTATGGTAATTACAGTGCCTCCCCCATGACAAAGAGATAGTTAAATACATCATTTTTTTTATTATCCTACAAAATATTCTAGAATTTGTACAACATCTTATATTCCATAAACAAGGAGGCAAGATATATTAGTGCCAATTTTAGCTCACCTGCCTCTCATACTACCACCGTTCCGTGCTATGTTTCCAAAGACTAGTAAAAATGATGGTGCACACAGCCCGTGTGCTCCCACCATTTCGGACTCACATCACCTCCTCCCAGTATAAATCCCACCGCCGTCGCCTCCCGCAAGCCTCACCTGCCCCGCCTGCTCCCCCCTCACCAGTCACCCCAATCCAATTCCACGCTGCGATCTGTCGAGCACCTCTCCTCGCTTCCCTTTCCTTCCCTCCCATGGCAAACCGCTGCGCCGGGCTCGACCCCACCTGGGCCCACCTCCCCACCCCGGCGCCGACCCACACGGCCCACGCCGCCGCCTCCAGCCACTACTACTGCTCCTCGTCCTCCGCGGCCGCCTTCGAGAACGAGGCGCTCACCTCCGCGCTCCGCGCCTCCATGGCGCCGGCCCACGCCTACTCCGCCTCCGCCGCGGCCTCGTCCTTCTCCTCCCCCGCCACGCCGTCCTCCTCGACGACCTCCTCCGCCTCCGAGCTCCTGTCCTCCAGCGGCCAAGTCGACGCTCCTGCGCCGGGGTCCAGCAGGCCCGGGGCCCGGGCCCTGGCGGGACCTAGAGTGGGCCGCGTCACCAAGCGCAAGCCGCGGCCGTCGCGGCGCCCGCCGACCACCTACATCACCGCCGACCCGGCCAACTTCCGCCGCATGGTGCAGGAGATCACCGGCCTCCCCGTCCCCGGCCCCTCCTCCTTCCCCGCTGCCTCGGAGGCCGCCACCGTCGCGGCGCCCAACTGGACAGCCGCGCCCGCGTGCGTGCTCCCGACGCTAGACACGTCCGCCTTCCTGCTCGACCGCGCCGCCGCCGCCGCGGTGCCAGCAGCGCCGGAGGAGAAGAGCCCGGGCGGCGGCGGGCACGCGTCGTCGACCGCGACGGACGCCGCCGTCGCCGTGGCAGCAGCTGCGGCAGGGAACGACGCCGACTCGTCGGCGCTGCTTGAGCTGGAGGCACTGGTGTGCGCGGCGGCGGGCGAGTGCGGCTTCCCGACCCTGGAGAGCTGGGGGATGATCATCTGATGAGTGGGCTTCAGGGATTAGAGATGGAAAGGTGGTTAGCAGTGGTTTTGCTCTCTCTGTTTTTAGCTTGTTATTGTAATGGAGTTTTTGGTCCGTCCGATGCGATGATCCGACGGCGGCGGCCGGTTGAGCCGACGCCGATGCCCATGATGATGTGGCAAGCATGGGGGATTTTCATGTCCTGTAAGAAAGAATTATTAGCTAGGCTGCTACTACCTGCTTTTTTTAGTTGTAGTGCATCTCTGCTGGATGAGGATGATAGACATGGTTGCCACCATGGTTCCTTCTAGTCTGTTATGGAGATGACAATGTTAATTGTTCTGTAATGAAATCTAGCTAATGGAACAAAGGAATATGTTATGATGGCAAAAGGAAAAAAGAACCCCTACCCTAATGTGAACGAATGTACGTGTTCCTTTTACCTTTGAGCCTTTCAGTTTTTCAGGAATCAGCAGGAGAGTTGCACGTAGCATCCCCATGGTTTTGGTTGGTTTCGTGACACCTGCTGGCTGCAGCAGCCAAAAAAACACATACGTATTGCCAGCCATGGGACCTGCATGTATGCATGCACAGCAGACAGCACTAGTTCCTCGTAGCTGTACAGTAGACAAGTAGTGGCAAATGGCAAGAGCAAGAGGCTTTGACTGTTTGTCATTGTCAACACAAGTAGTACAGTAGAGTACGGTATCCTGTGTGTGAACGCAACGGTGGGGACCGCACCACACCAGGCCACCAGAAGGTGTGTGAAGTGTGAACGCAGCGTCAGCAGCTCGCAACGCGAACCGTTGCTGCGACGCCGACGCGTAAAATCACCGGGTGCCGCGCTGCATTGCCAAGCATCAATTCATTAAAAAACCGCGCAAGTTCATTCTCTCGAACTCTCGCGTCCTGCTACAGTCCAGAGAGGCGAAAGCGAGCGATCCGGTCTCCACCAGGGGAACCGGCGGTCTTCCTCGCCTCCGATGGCCTTTGGGCTTTTGGAGGCGGTGGAGATCGCTGGCCTCCTGTCGGTCGCAGGTATAGGTCCTAGTAGATCTAGGTTTAGGTTTCTGGCGGCAGCGTCAAGACGGCGGCGGCGGCGTCAAGGAGCAAGGTCCTCTCGCTCTTTCCCCCGTCTTGGTGGTGCTCCACTCCGGTGCCGTCAACGAGGGCGTGGAGGAGGGATTCCCTTTGTGGATCCCTTGTATAGGAGTCCGGGGCTGGCGGCTCGTCGGGAGGTGAGTTCGCTGGCCTTGTGTTTTGAGGATGGAGAGGCAGCTTCGGTTTGTGCGGAAGGCAGGAGAGTGGAGCTGCAGGCTCGGTTGTTCCATGGCGGCGTCAGTCGGCAATGGCGAGTCTGCATCCAAGGTCACCGGGGCTTGGGGCGCGTCTCCGGCCGATGGATCCTCAGCGTTTGCTTCATCTCGTCCAAGATGGCGGCCCTGCGCCCTGCTGTCCTGCCTCGCGCAGCCGCCATTGGAGCCGTTGCAGCCGTGCTGCCGCTGCTGCTGCCATCGTTTCACTCCCGTACTCGCGTTTGCTCACTGCATCGCGCTGCACCCTCCCTGGCCAGGTTGGGTGCCGTCCGCACGTGGCCGTGCACGCCGTCGTCACGCTATTAATTGCGCTGTGGTGCGCGGGCTATGGCCGGTCGTCGACGCTCGCGCTCGTCCCCTCGTGCTTGGACGTAGGTCCCTCGGCCACAACCGGTCGTGTCCCGCCAAGGCGAGGATGAACCGAGCCCACCTATCACGCCCCGTTTCTCTCTTTCTCTCTCGGCTTTCCGCCGCCGTCGAGTCACGGTCACAGTGAGCCAGAGAGCAAGCACCTATCATCAATTTCTCGTGCCCGCGTCTCCGCCTTTACGTCCTCTTACCGACCGCCCCACCCCGCCTTGATTACGGCCAGGCCGAGCTCCAATTTTGGAGCTTTGCTCCCGCCGCCGCGCCATTAAGGCCCAGCCTGTCTCATCGTGGCTAGCTCCAACCTCGTCATCTCGCGTCGAATTGACCGCACCACTAGCCCCGCCTAGAACCCCTCTTCGTCGTGCGCACGCTAGTCGCAGCTCTAGTGCCACCTCCTCACCGCTGACGCGGCCATGCCTTTACGGTCCGCCATTCACCTCGCAGCGCGCACGTGGCTAGCCTCGCTCGGGTCGTCTTCGGCCGAGCCGGCACCTCGGTTAGGTCACCGGTGAGTCGTCGTTGCTCACCCACTACCCCTACTGCCTTGTTGTTGCTGTGACTCACCTGAACGCCGCCGCCATTGCCGCAGGGTGCTCGTCGTCGTGGAGAGGTCCTTCTACGACGTCTCGGCTCGTGCAACCACCGCCCATCACCTCGCGTCGATCCCTTGGTGAGATTTGGCCTCTTAGCTAGGTTAGCATGGGACCTGGGTGGCCGACGCTGTTGGCAGTGCCACCTCTCGCCATGCCAGAGCGTGCGGGGGAGGCCAGGGACCATACTATTGTAAAGAGGAGAGAGTACAAGGGTCTTTTTGCATAGGTGCTGTCTCTAGGAATAGTAACATGGACTGCGGGTTGTTTTGTTCATAGTCCAGAGGCGTTTTTGCTAATATGCCAGCACGCACGGGATTTTCCCGCCGTGGGCCGCCTCGCGCTGCAGGCGACCTCGCGTGGGCCACGCGTGTGGGCCACGCAGGAGAAGTCTTTTTTCTTTTTCATAAGAAATTAGAAATAGTTTTCTGATTTAATTTTAAGCTGATCTTTGGTAAATCATATAAAATCATTTAGGTATCCAAAAATTGTGCAACAAATTTTGTTAAGTTCTTAAAATTGTGCTCTATCTGTTAGTGCATTTAGTTCATATATATACATGTTGATACCAGGAGCTATTAAATCATTTGAGAGTGCTTAATATTATTAGATTAAATATTGTAGGAATTTTTGTGGTAAATTGGTGATAGCTTTAATCCTAAAACTTTTATGGTAGTTTTCTGGTTTTGTTATGTGTTCACTGCAATTTTGTAGCCCTAAAATAGACTACTTAATATGGTAGCTAAGGGCCTATTTGGGACTACTTTGCTCCACCTTTTGTAGCCCTGCTCCTAAACTTTCCTGCCAAACAGGTCTAACTCCACAAACTCTGCTCCCAAAAAAAGATAGAGTTTTGGTCCAACTCCATGTTTTTCGCGGAGCTCCTCAGAGGGTACTCCACAAACCAGCGTTTCATATGTCCTCGTGGAGTTGGAGGTAATTACCCGCAATTGCCACTCGTTACACAAATACCGTTTCGTTCAATTTCCTCCCGTCGCCCCCACCCGACGCCCTCATCCTCCTCTACTCCCATCGCCTCTCTCCTCTGCTCCAGCCCGTCCTCCCCAAACCCTAGCGACACTAGGCCGCGAGCGCCCCTCCCGCTGGAGCTCGTCAGAGGTCACCGGGCCTGCGCTCCCCGCCCGTCCGCTCTGGTCCGAGCTCCTCCCGCCTCCGTGGCTGCGCCGCCCACCGCCAGCCGTCCGTGACCGCGCCTCCCGCCGCCGGAGCACGCAGACCGCCATGGCCCGCCGCCGGAGCTCGCAGGACCGTTAGACCTCCACGCGCTCCCGCCCAGCCATGGCCGAGCCTCCAGCCGCCCACTGGAGCTCGCCCCGCTCATGTATTCTATACACATGGCTTGTGCGCATGGTGAATCTGAGACTGACCTTCCCAGCTCGATGTGCGCCTGATACTGAAAAGGATTTTTGGGGACTGAGAGGGATTTCCCAATAGCACGAGTAGCAGCCGGCATTTGAGAGGCTACTGATTCTGATCTGCTAAAATCAGTTCAGTATATTTAAGTATCATCCAGTATATCGGAGCTCTTCTTGATGGTTTTTGTCTTCGATCATGTGTTCTAATTGTTGTAACCTTAGTTCAGTATTGATTGATTCAGACCTGCACACTACCGCATCTTTCTTTGCAGTGCTAATGCATCTTGTAAAATTCTGAATGTAATGAATGTCTTTGCCATCCTGATCGAGGAAAAAACATGGCGAAGAATTCAGGAAGATCAGAGGTTCAAATGTATTTCGTAATTGTTAGTTTTTTTATTGTTTCTTTGTTTCATTTTTCAGCCATGTTTTTTTAATTTTAGATTTTAGTCACCCTTTTAGGTTTGAATGCAGTCCTAAATCTTACGTATTAGTCGTATAATAAATTATTTCATTTTTTTCTCAATTATGTGTTTTGTGTTTTCTGGTTGTTAATTTTTTGTTTCATTTTTTCACTGATTTATACTATTGAGCCACTTGTGATGAGATATATGAAATAAGACTACGATATATGTGTTTCAAAATAGTTTATAGGTATTGGCAACTTATGTTATATATGTTGTAGCTATTTATGTATTAAGTATGTAGCAACCTATATATTAACCTCCTAACAAATTATATATACTAACAAACATGTAGCAACTTATGTATTAAACGTGTAGCAACTTATTTGTCAATTTTAGTTTTCATTATTAGATGTGACTTTCAATTGTATGTCTTCCCGAATCCAGCTTTGAAATTTACGTGACAAAAGTATGGAATTATTTGGCCGAAATATTTATATTTTACTTTTCTCTAATAAATTAAATAAGATTATAATATTTACACCATATTTGAATTGGTAAAAAAAATATTCAATTAGACATGTTCTGCATACAACAGAACATACATCAAACATCGATCAGGGGCATAATAGACCTTTCCTATAGAAACCTCATGTTTCCAGAGCTGGAGCTAAACTGCGTGCCAAACAGGTCCACTTGCTCCAGAAACTCTACAGTGGAGCTGCTCTGTAGTGGAGTTGGTGGAGCAGAGCTAGAAAAGGTGGAGCAGAGTAGTCCCAAACAGGCCCTAAATACCCATTAAGGCTAAAGGAATAATGGCATGATGTTTGTTTATAAAAGTTAGCACTTGTAGGGTAAGCTTGAAATCTATTGGTAGAGATAATAATTAGCTTAGTATCTTAGTCATTAGAGCTAGCTTAGTAGCTTAGCATGTGTATTTATATTTTAAGAGTTTTTGTTGCCAAA